CCTCCCCATCCAGGGGCTCTGCAGCATCACCCCCCAGGTGCCCCCAGGATCCAGGCTGGGACCATCTCCGGCTCCTCTGGCACCCCCTTCTCTGGCAGGAAGGCACCAAAGTAGGACTCGGGAGCTCCCCCGCCTCCCCAGCTCGGGCCTGACAGCTCGGGAGTGACGGGAGAGCGTTTCTCCCGCGCTGTCACTTCTCTCTCCTCCCTTTCAGCACCACCCACCGCGTTGTCACTCCCGGCAGCAGGGACTTTCCTCAGGCCCACGAAGGTCCCCGAGCTGTTACCGTGATGCAAACACCGAGTACAAGGTTCCTCCTTGATGTGAGGAATGAAACGAGGTCGGAACTGGAGGGAAAAATGTTCATTTTGAGGTGGAGCTGAGGATCTCCCTGTTTGCCTGGAGCCGCTTCCCTGCGACTCCCTGGGGAGGGGAGTGGGGTGTCCTGCAGATCTCAAGGGAAGAACCTTGTGTTTCCCTGAGCACAGGGTGCTCTGCTGGGCTGATCCACGGAGAAGGAAGGACACCAACATCCCTGCTGAGGTGTCACCACATCCCCATGGCACAGCATTCCCCCTCATCCCGCCCATGGGCGCTTTGGGAAGGAGCGACCAAGAGGCTCCTCCTCAGCTGTGGCAAATATTGGGGGGTTTTATAACAGGCACTAATAGGTTTAGAGCCTGTCTTGGCTCCAAACGGGAATGTGGAGGGGTGGGGAAGGGAAAAGCACCATCAGTCACAGAGGTCCCGGGGAAAACCCAGCGTGGCTGTCGGCTCACGGGCACTCGGGTGATGAATTCCTTAGGTGAGCGAACAATTTTGTCTCCTAATTACACCCATAAAGCAGAGCCGGGCCCAGATTCCTCCTCTCATGTTTTGCTTTTCATGTCGAGCCCCTTTCCCCAGTGAAGGAGCTGCTTAATTAGAAATTAACAGGGTTGTTAGAGTAATTGGGAGCAGGAACGGGCTAGGAGAGGCTTATTAGCAGGAGTGTGGTGATGGTTTATTAGCAACCCCGTGGCTGTGGGGTTTTTCTGGTGCTCCAAAGCCGTGGGGAGCTGCCCTGGAATGAGGGGAGAGCCCAGAACTGAGAGGGGAATTGGTGTGGCCACGATGGGACCCATGATAGGACCCTTCCCATGGGTTCTGAGCAGGAATCTGAGCCCTACAAACAGGCACCTGTGGGTGCTGCAGGGAGAGGGAAAAGGGGGAGAAGAGGCAGGAAAAAAACCCCAGACCCTGTTTTCACCAGCTCTCCAGGCTGCAGGCATCACCTGGGGGCATCTCAGCCAGCTCTGCCACCTTGTAGGGGCCCTGTGGTCCCCCTGCCCTATCCCATGGGATGGGACCTCGGAGCTGCAGGACCCCCGGGAGCCCCTGGCATTCCCACCAAAGCCTCTCCAGGGTTTATTTATCCCTGAGCCGCATCCCTGGCGCTCTCCCTCCCTATATTTAGCCCTCGGATGGAGAGAGATTTCACAGCCGCCCGACTGTGCCTGTGCTCGGGAGGCAGTCAGTGTTTCCATGAGAAACCCCGGGGGGCCAATCCCGCTCCTCTCCCTGGCACCGGGACAAAAATCCTCCCCGTGGCTTCCAGTGGAGCATCGCTGGATTTACCCCCCCCCCCCCCGGGATGAGATCAGGATCTGGCCTCGGGTTTTGATGGGTTTGTAACTTGGCTGATACAACTCGGGCTGATTTAATTCATTTTGGGCTAAAACTCCACCTACAAGTTCCCAGCCTGGGAGGCATTAAAGGCAAATTAATACAAATATTATATACTGGGTTTAAAGGGAACTCATCAGCCAATCCTGATTTTTTTTTTTTTTTTAATGGAAGAACCTGGTGGAGTGATGTTTTCTATTTTGGTGTTATTTATTTTATGTTGCTGCTGGTCTCCCTGAGGCCAGACACTGCCCAGGCCCAGAACTGCTCTGCTTTGCCTCCACAGCATCCAGCAGAAAAGCAATTGGAAAAGAAAAGAGGTGCCAAAATATGGACAACAGCTGAAATTCCCATCCCAGCAGGGCTGCCCGCAGGGTTCAGGTCCCTGAGGGTGGGCCCAGGTGCTGTTGGTCACTGTGGGAGTTTGGCTCCTTTTCCAAGCAGCAGGAATTGCCTGCAGGGAGGTGTGGAAGGAAAATTCCTCCTGGGATGGGATGGGGAACCTGCTCCTCTTCCAGAGGGGCCTGCAATGGGTGTCAGGTGCAAGGAGGGGAGAGGAGCAAGGAGCACCATCCAGGCATCTCTGCCATGAATCCCTCCATAGCCAGGGCTCGGAGCATTCCTGGCCGATCCCAACTGGGAAAGGTGATGTGTTCCCCACACACGTGGCCAGTTCTGGGCGAAGATAAGGGAATAACTGACTATCCAGCCGTGATCCAGGGCGGATGGGGAGGCCAAAGGCACAGCACAGAGTGGGCAGCCCTGCAGGGACTTACTGGGGGGATCCAACGTCTCCCTTGGAGCTTGTCTGGGAGCACCTGCCAAGAGCCAAAGGAGCAGCCTGTCCCCACTACCACCCAAAAACCAACCTGTCCCCACTGCCACCCAAAAATCCTCCTGTTCCCATTGCCACCCCCGTGGCTGTGGCAGCCAGAGCCCTGCTAATCCTGGGAGGTCCCTCCCTGCAGCTCCGGGCTGGACAAGTGGGAGCTTTGCTGGCTCAGGGGTTGTGTCCTTCTCCTTCCTTTTCCAGGTGTGTCTGGCAGAGCAGTGTGGGGACACCTCTGCCCCCCCCAGCAGGAGCAGGTGGCCTGAGGCTGAAGGGGATGGAGCAGGAGGGGTGACACCAGCAAGCACCAGGGGCAGCATCCTGGGAAACAGGAGCACAGGGAGGATCTTCAGAGGAGACCCCAAAATACTCCATGAAGGAATTTTTCCCGTGTTCTCTCCCCCTCTGTGCTGCCGTGTGTGGGGACAGGTTGGTGCTTGTTTGGAGGTGATGCTCCTGCTCCTGCTCCAGCTCCAGCCAGGATTTTCACTTTTCCTCCATGTGCTTCTCCTTAGCTATAAAATGGAAGGGGCTCTCAGCCTGTTTATGGCTCTGTGTGTAACAGGAACACACCAGGCAGGAGCTGCTGAGCACCAGCTCTGTAATTGCCGCCTGCCACTGGATGGGAAGCACATTTTCCAAATGGATTTTGGCTGGTTCCCTCGACAGCAAGTGCCCCAGCTGTAAAACCTGCCTTTCCCCATTTCAGCCCAAGTCCAGGAGTCCAAGGAGGCTGCAAATTCTCAGCATTGCTGAACTGCCCTGCTAACAACAGCTTCCCTGAGGCAGGAAGGCTGATTTCCTTTCAGGAGTCCAAATCCAGATGGTCAGAGATTCCTTCCAAGCTCAGAAAACCTGTTTTAAAAGGCCATTATGTCTCAATAGCAGTTTTGCATCCCGGCCCGTTGGAAGCACTGCCTGCAGGCTGCTCCACCAGCTCTTTTCCAAGCTGTTCTGTGGTCACTGAGACACAATCTGGGCAGTGCTGGCTGATTCTGGTGGAGGGGGGGCCGGACACCGGCTAAAATCCGCGTGTTTATTCCCACTTTCTGTGTTGGGCAAGCGTGGAGCTGTTAAATCGAAGGTGCCCGAGCTTGTTTTTTGAGACACAAGGTTTGCTCTTGTCATGGGAGTCTCCAGCCCTGGAGGGTTTTACATTCGGAGGGAATGACTCCCTCAACTCCCCAGGAAGATGCCAAGGACCCCACCTTGAGATGGGGGGCATTCCCAGCCCAGGGAACTTTCCTCCCTCCTGCTGCAAAGCCCAGGGGCAGCTCGGTGCCTTCTGCGCTGTGCAGGATGTGGAGACTGAATTACACCCAACCCGGGCAGCTCTGGTGGCACTCAGGTGACTTCAGATAATTTCCCCTGCCCCCAAACGGCCCCTGGCTCAGCCGAGTGGAAGGGATTTTACTGGCCGTGGGGAGCATGGGAAGGAATTCCGGATCCACACAGGGCTCGGCTCTCCCGGCCTCTGCAGCACCACCTGGGAGCGCTCAGGAATGCGAAATTCTCGAGGTGCAGGCCCTCAAGGGGGGAAAAAACCGTTCCGAGCGCTAATTAGGGCTTGTGCGTGCACAGATGTTCCACTGGTTTAACTCGAACCCGCGGCGTGCCCGGACGTGGGGCTGCGGGGAGGGCGAGTGCCGAGTTAAGGTGCCCACGCCCGGCACTGCTGCCCCGATGCCACCGTGCATGCCCAGCACGGCCGCGGCGTGTCCACCCCTCAGGGACCATTCAATGAGGGGTTTTTATCCCGGTTCCTTTAAAAAAAGGGGTGAGGGTCGGATCTGCCCGGGGGGGGGTTTCTTCATGCTGGACCCTCTGTGGCCCACGGGGTGTGTCCCCTCCTCGAGGGGACTGTCGCTCTCAGGGGGTGTCAGGCTGGCACACCCCAACCCCTGGGCATCAACCACAGCGCCCACGAGGAACCCCAAAGCCACTTTAACCCACAAGGAACCCCGATTTTGCCACAGGTCACGGTGCTACTCCTGCCTTCCCCACGCCTGGGCTGGGGAGGGGTTTGGGGACGAGGATGAGCCCTCACTTCTTGGGGTGCCCACGCTTGGGAGTGCACACACCTCAGTGCCACGGGTAGTGCCAGAGCTCCCCGGAGGGGGGGGAGGAACACACGTTGTGGTGCCCCCACATTGCTGAGGGGTGCACACACTGCCCAGGGGGGTCCCCACATTGCCTGGGGGGTCCCCACGTTGCCCAGGGGTGCACTCCTCGCTCTAGCAGGGGGGGTTCTTGTGCTGCCCAGGGGGATGCCCACATTGCCTGGGGGGTCCCCACACTTTCTGGGGGTGCACCCCCCAACTCTGCCTGTGGGGTCCTCCCACTGCCCGGGGTTTCACCCCCCCACACACACACTCTACCCACTCTCCGTCTCCTTCCCGTCCCCCTTAAGCAGCCGTCGGGGCGTGCAACCACCTTAAGGGAGCCCCTCCCCCGGCGGGCTGGGACGAGCCCTCCCCCTCCCTCCCCCCCGTCCCCTCCCTCCTCGGCCCGGCCCCGCACGGCCCCGCACGGCACGGGGGTTGCCATGACAAGCATTTTCTCCCGTTAGCTCCGGGACCGTTCCCCCTCCATCCCATGGCCAGCCGGGGGGGCTCCGCCGCCAGCCGGGCGCCGCGGGAGCTGAGCCGGTGAGTGCGCGGGGGGGACCCC